TCTATCTCTATCAAGTATACTCCATTTTTTCTCTACCATCTTTCCTCCACTTCCCCACCAATCGATACATCCTTTCTTAGGAATTCAAGATTCTGTACCCTTTCTCTGCCACCCAGAAATCATGGCCCGCCAGACTATAAGCATATACTATATTCATCAATCACATGGCATTGAACAAGTCCCTTCTGAGATCCATTATAACGAATACACATTTGTTTATAGTCCATCCTATAAGGTTGTTAACCTGCTCAAAATCCTCTTGAGCCATACTTTTGAACTTTTTAACCTTGACATTATTTAAAAATGGTTGAATGTTGCTCAAGTTTGGCTTTACTTTATAAACTATGAAAATGGATATTGGAAAGTGATGTTCTCATTCTTGGTAGTAAGCAGCCTAGTGAGGAACAAAGGCAGACCAGGGCTTGTATTTCTTCTTTTGTCCCACAGTAGAAACAGATCAACAATTTGAATCTCTATTACATTATATTTTCAATGAAAAATACTGTACTTCATAAAATGAGCTAAATTTGAAACATTAGCCAATGACAGAACTGATGCACACTGTTGTTACCATTGAAATGTTTACACAAAGAGACAATGTACTCCTCAATGAGCTGTAATGAGAATTAGTTAAAACAGAATATATAGAATGTACAGTGTTAGTTCTTGTGGTGATAACATAATATTTGGAAAACAAAATTCACATGGATTTAGTTAGAAATAAAGCATTTGCCATTAGGTACATTGTAGGAAATAATATAAAATTTGAGTGATTTCTTTATAGTGATGTAAACTTGTGACTAGCGCATAAGTGGTCAGAAAGTACTAAATACCAGAATTCCGAAAATGAGAACAGCTACAAAGAATAGCACACAAAGGGAATAAAAAAGATCTTTGAAGACATTACACAATGTTGTCTGCAGATCTTGCTTGGGCCTTTATTATGTCTGCTGAGCTGCTCTAAGCATTTCTTTACTGGAGGAGTTGCCAAACCGAACAGAAGTGCTGCCTTCTAGAAATCAGTTGGTATAACAATGGGCTTTTGAGATTGGCTAAGCGTACCCAGTACTACATTTGTCAGTTAAAGTAGATGTTATCTTCAGCTTTTCAGCATCCTCTTAAGTCCTGTAGTTCAGCAGCAGTAGACTGTTACTGTTCTTAAATGGGAAAGGTGATGATGAACAAAGAATTATTGCCAATGCTCCAATGATGCTTTTATGAATTACTTCTTATTTATTATACTAGCCCATGTTCTGCATTTATGCTAAATGTGTTTCTTATTCATTGTTTGAAAGGTGTCCCAATTTATGGTGATCAGTTTTTTTCTATTTTATGTTTTCTAAGATGATGTATTTCTATATAGGAAAATAAAATAACAATCATAAAATCCTGTGGTAGGAAGGAATATAATTAAAATTGGTATTGATAGGTCTGCCATCCCTGGGTGGAGAGTAATTAATTATAAGGAAGAAGGTGGCTCCCCAGGATTCATAAGTAGCTCCTCCTACTTCATGGACCATAAAAAAAATCTGAAACCAGGTAGTGGTGGTGCATGCCTTTAATTCCAGCACTCAGGAGGCAGAAACAGGTGGGTATCTGTGATTTTGAGGCTAGCCCATTCTACAGAGCTAGTCACAACCAAGGCTACATAAAGAAACCTTGTTGTGAAAAACCAAAGCAAACTAAGCCAAACCAAAACAATAACAAAAAAGAAAATTTTAGGCTAATGGATTGCCACTGACTAATATATTCCAACATATTGAGCCACATGAAAAAAACTAACTTATGACATAGAGAGAGAGGTCTGGGAAAAAGACACTGAACCTGTGGAAGTGATAGAGGGAAATATGGTTGAATCATGGCCATGAAATCTCAGAAGTGGAGGAAGAAGAAAGGGATATGTTCACAGTAGGCAGCTAAAGATGATGAATGGACAATGGGAAGAACCTATTAGGCTATAGCAGAACACTGTTTTGTCAGTTTTTGCTCATGATCATCACTCTGTTAACAAAACTTAAAATAATTTAATAGCTTCTATTTGCATGCCTAAGCTGATGCTCTGGCTTAAAAATATTCAAGCTTATGCTTATTCTCTTTCTTTTTTCTTTTCTTTTGGTTTTTCGAGACAGGGTTTCTCTGTATTGCTTTGGAGGCTGTTCTGGAACTCTCTCTGTAGACCAGACTGGCTTCAAACTTACAGACATCCACCTGCCTCTGCCTCCGAGTGCTGGGATTAAAGGTGTGTGCCACCAATGCCCAGCTGATTCTTCTTTTTCAAGTTCTTTTTTAAAAAAGTATTTTTTTCTTCTCTCATATAGTAAATCCTGAATGCACCTTCCACTCCCTTTCTGATATTAGGTACTTCATTTAGAATGTATAAGCAGACTTTTAGTTTCTGCTAACCAAAGCACTGTCAGAGAAAACCTAAAGCCGCTATTGGGAGTTTTCCTAATTTTTCTGTAACCTGCCTACCTAAAGCACCCAGCAATGTATTTGAAAAGTGTGTTATTTCTTTATTCTGTAGCAACAGAAGTATAATAAGTTCATGAAATTGCTACCTTATTTGGACATGGTGTATATGAAGCCCTATATCTGTGTTCTGAGGCCACTAATATTTAACTCTAGAATAAACCATTTCCTTTTCTTTCTTTATTTTTTAAGATTTTATTTATTTATTATGTATACAACATTCTTCTTCCACGTATATCTGCAAACCAGAAGAGGGCACCAGATCTCACAATGGAGGGTTGAGAGCCACCATGTGGTTGCTGGAAGTTGATCTCAAGACCTCAGGAAGAGCAGTCAGCACTCTTAACCTCTGAGCCATCTCTCTAGCCCTTCTTTTATTTCTTCATAGGGGAAGCTATTTCTTCCATTAACATGAACATAAACACCCATCACTATATACATATATTTTCAGGGTCAGTACTATAATGTGGCTTGAAACAGTTTTTCCATTAAAAATAGTTCCAACTATAAAGCTCTGATGCTGAAGAAAATACTTGTGTCAGTGAACATACAGAAGTTGAGCTGGTGCCTAACTACAACCTTTATCCCTATTGACCAGCACTTATGATGCTGGTAGGTACTCTCCATTCTACCAGAAGAAAACAGTAATCATGACTATCATCCATCTACAAACCCTGTAACCTACAACACTAGCCTAGGTGCAAGATATATTGATATAATAGTGGCATAAATGTTATGGGAGTAACTCATCACTTCTTTCTTTTAACTCATCACTTCTTGATTGGATTTAAATCTCACTCCATGAGATGGAATCCATATGGGACAATGCTAAAGTAGCTAACACCCTGAGACTAGATAGGTCATGGATCTAGAGGAAAGCTACTACTTTTATTCTGCTAAAGATACATAGCAATAAAATGACTCCTAATGATATAGTGCTATATTCATAGATCAGTGCATTGCTTAACCCTTATCAGAGAATCTTCTTCCTAAAGTAGATGGTAATTAGCACAACTGGACAGTGTATGAGAGTGAGGGACTTTGGAGCACTCAATCCTAAGTGAGATGTCTTCATCAAACCCCTCCCTTAAGGCTCAGGGATCTATCCGGAAAAAGAGGCAGAAAAAATTATAAGAGCCAGAGATGATGATGACTCTAAGGAAACAGTGTTCTCCAAATACAACTGGACTGATGTACATATGGACTCACAGAGGTTATGATAGCAAGCATAGGATCTAAGCAGTATCAAGCTAGATGGAGTCCCAGAACTGAGAAAGAGAAGTGGACACAGGGTCTCACCTCTAACCAAGAAGGTGTTTATAATTGATACCCACTGACAAAGAAAAGACAGTTTTTGCTAATTACATTGGAGTGGCACTGGGTATATCAACCACTCCAGGGCAGGTGCCATACCCAGGAATAGTTGGTTATCACAAAACAAACTCCATGGATCACTAATAATTTCATCTGCTTCATCTCATGTTCCTGGAATATTTCTTTGAGTGAGATTAACTTTTTATAATGGTCATCAGTTATCCCAAGGTTAATTGAAGAAGGAAGAGAAAGATGGGTCTGACTTTTGGAGAAAAGACAAATTACATGTGGATTTGTGACTCTAGATTTCTACACAGATGAAATGTAGATGGGAAAACAAACTTAAGAGCTAGACAGGTTGAACAGTTTGCATGAGAAATTCAGAGTCCCAGATTGTTGTTATTTTGGGACATCCTTACACTATATGGTGGTTTGAATAGATATGATCCCCCATAGACTCATGTGTTTGAATGCTTAGCCTGTAGACAACGGCACTATTAGGAGGATTGGCCTGTTGGAGTAGGTGTGGCTTGTTGGAAGAAGTATGTCACTGTGGAGGCAGGCTTTGAGGTCTCATATATGGTCAAGCTGTTCCCAGTGACACAATCTCCTTGTCCTCAGATCAAGATGTAGAACTCTCAGTTTCTTCTTCAGCACCATGTCTGCTTGCCTGCTGCCATGTCCTGTCATAATGATAATGGACTAAACCTCTGAAACTGCAAGTAAGCCCCAATTAAATGTTTTCCTTTATAAGAATTGCCGTGGTCATGGCGTCTCTTCACAACAATAAAAACCCTAACTAATGGTGATTGAGAAATTGGGTTTTAATATTAATGAATTATAATATTAATGAATTATAATATTAATTAAAATATTAAATTATAATTAATTTAATATTAATGAAATCAAATTCAAATAGCCAATAAAAGTGATTGTTTCACTTAACAGTGCATGTCTTGCACCATTATTTCTTTCACAAGTAATTTTAGAAATATTGGTTTATCCAGACAGGGTTTCTCTCCTGTGTAGCCTCGGCTGTCCTGGAGCTCACTCTGTAGACGTTGTTTGCCTTGAACTCACAGAAACACAATTGCCTCTACTTTCCAAGTACTAGGATTAAAGGTGTGCACCACCATTGCCTGGCTTAGAAATATTTTGAATTCACAAAATTCCCTCTTCCTCAGAAAGGAGGCTTCTAGAATGAAATGGTGACTTACCCTCAGACACAGGAACTTCCTCTTCCTGTTCAATGGGGGAAGGAAGCAGGGGCTGCAAGGGCTCCATGTTAATGATGAGCTGTTTGTTTAAGGAGTGAGAGCTGCGACTCTGAGTAATGTTGGCTCTAAAAACAAACAGGAGTCAAATAAACTAGTGTTCACTGCAAATACTGCCCCTACTGTCTGGACACATAAAGAGAGTAATGCTAATAGTAAACATGCCCTAACATTTAAAACACATAGCTCTCCTTGTCACTAGATTCCTGACAAAAGTCTACAAATTCTATTCAACTTGATGAACAAAAATAAAGTTCCCCAAATGTCATCAGTCAAAGATATGCTTGGTGACAACACAGAAATTTTAAATAGACACAGGAAACACACCAGGGATTCTCCTAGCACTGAATTAGACAAGTAGAAATGTAAATGACAGTAGCTCAGAGCCACTGAACCACCACCACAAATCCTGCTTGGACAGAGGCTACATGATCTGCAACTCTCAACTATCTTCATGTTGTCAGTTGTCCAATGTTTGAGGTTTTCATTCATGCCTGCCTTACCAGACAGTCATGAAGCTTAGTTCTGCTTCTCCTTTGGAAAGTCATGTACATAACAGAAACTATGACAAGTAACATATGGCAAGGAAACTGCTGGTGTCTCATTAAAACTATTGACAGTCAGCTAGCAGTCCATTTGTATTGCCTCTTGTGGGGAGAACAGTTGTGGACCACAGCATAGAGTGAAGTAGAGACCTGAAGGTACATGTTAAGTGCTTAACTTTCTCTGGTTTCCTGTCAAAACCAAACCAACCATTCCTTTGATAATGGTGTTAAATATCTCCTCCTTGAAGCCTTTCTGGTTGGTTCCTCAAAACAGGCACTCACCCTTTTATTTCTTCCTTCCTTTTCATATACTTCTCTCTCTTCATTCATAATTCATCATGTTTGTTTATTCTGTCAGGTTGCCATTTTTGTACTTATCAGCCTCACTCTGAAAAGACTCCTGGCCATTTGTAAGTGCCTTACAGTATCTCACTGGATACCTTCTTATAGGGTTTCCAACTCTTAAACTGAGTACAACCTTAGTTTGACATAACCTGGAATTTCAGATTGCCAAGGATTTTCTCAGGCTGGAAATTTCTGCTAGGACTTTCATGGGAAGACATAGAGTAGGATGTTTATTCACATCTTGAATTGGAAACTTCCACAACTGCCACTGGCTGCATTGGCAGTTGTTTAGCCACAGAGTCATTTCTTCTTTTATTCCAACTGACACTGGAACTGATGATTATGTATTAGGTGATCTGTTTGTTTTGATGATTAGTATATCTCCCAATAAGAAACTCCCTTTGTAGAAGTAACATTTTCACCTTTTAAAAATTCTGAGACACATATTATGAAATACATTTTGTATCATCTATCTTCCTCCCAAAATTCTTCATCTGGAGATGTGAAATATTTTGATATTCTTTTTCAATTGCATCGTCCAACAACTGCTTTGTTCTAAGACAGGCTGAGGTTACAAGGGTTGTCATCCCAAGTATAAGTCCGTCTTGGTACTGGAAGAAATGTGGGGGCAATTTGGCCCCTATACATAGGCTCATCCTGCTGCAATGTAGTAGAGGTCCATGGCTTATGGTTTAGGCATAGGGTTAAGACAGATGACTCTCATAGGGCATTAAAACCTCAGATTTTAAATAATATGACAGAGAAGGGCATAGATTTTCAGTTAAGTAAAAGACTCAGATAAATCCAAAGGCATTTCCCACAGCACAAAGTTCTAAGGCTCCAAGTGCTAGGAAAGCCTGATAACTTGAGCGAAAGATCAAAGGAAGTTAATGGAACAAATGGATCTCCCCCACTCCTTCTTATTTCTATGTTCTAAAATTAATATTTTGTTCTTTGAAATCCATTTGTTGAAAAAAATTTCTGTAAAAAAGATTCTCATTATGATGGTACTAAAAGGCAGGGCATCTGGATATGATTCAGTCATGAGAGCCCTCATGACCAGTTAAGAGTCCTTATAAAAGTGCTCTGAAGACCAGTGGGGTAGATCAGTAGGTAAGCACACTTGCCACCATAACTGATGATCTGATTTATTTTAATCCCAAGACCCCATAGAACAAGGATATAACCACTTCTTTAAGTTGTCTACCGCCAACTACATATATGCCATAATGAGTACACATGTACACCCACCTCCCCTCTCTAAATAAATAAAAAAGAAATAGAATGTCAGGGCAGTCTATTTCCTCCTTCCTTCAACTTTAGAGCAAGAAAGATGTTTCTGCTTATGGGGAAGCCATCACCAGACATCAAATCTTTCAGTGTTTCAGTCATGGGCTTCCCATCCTCCAGAACTGAGAGAAATAACATGTTGTGTGCAAACTACCCCATCTGTTGTATTTTGCCATAGAAATAAGTATATTTCTTTTAGAAATAAATTTTCTATTTCTTTTAGACTAAAAGTTATCCCTATTTACCTATTTGAAAAGGTTACAATGAGGATGATTGACATGGGTTCATTGGAAGCAAAGGCTCATCGGCACAATGGCTAAGGACAAATATTTAATAGAACATGAATCTGAATGGCCAGTTCATTTTACAAACTGAATTGCATACACTCTGTTAATCTTCTAGGTTTCTTAGTGTGCTAATAAGTCAGGCAGGAAAAATATTATATTTGTATTGATAAGAGACATTGAGATTCAATAGTGCTCCCTCTCACTGACAAGGTCCTAGACTATCTGACAAATCCCTATTCTCAGGCATAGGAAATTTCCCTTCTAGTTGTTGATCAGAGGTGTGTGTGGTTGTCCAAGATACTCTAAAAAAATATAGGTTAACGTGTTGCTCTTGGTTGTTTCCTAAAACTTGAAGGCAAGATCCCACTGCAGAAGATACAACGTATTTCACGCACATGATTTGGAGGAACTGAGTTGTAATTGACATGAAAGCCTCCTCCCTGAAGACTAGCTGTCATAGTATCAGAAGGTGCTATACAAACTGCCATGGGAAAAAAAAACCCAATGATCCTACCCTGCTTTAAAGCCTGAAAACCAGGAGGGTAAGCTGGTGGGGTATTCCTAATTGGATAACGGTGGCACTTTTATGTTGGGGGTAAATAACATCTGTCTAATTGTACTTAAAGGGATAAAATTCATGTCTGGTACCATAAACTTAGCCAAATACCCTTGGCTAATGATGTGATAAATTCTAGAGGAGAAGTTACTATTGCTATTTTCATAAATCAATACGATTTCCAGCAGTTTTTCTGAATAATTTCACCTACAGATAACTAGTTCTCACCCTTCATCAAAGAAGCTTCTTTTTATAGCAGATGGATTCTATTATAGAAATCTACAACTGGTCAAAATGCAGAGAAAAAGTGAGCATGGTGTGCCCAGCTTCAATTAGGATATTTACAATAAACTTCTGTACCTAAGGCTCAGAGAAGATTGCGGAAGAGTGCATGGAAAGATTGTAAGTTCCAGAAGATAAGAATACCAGCTGAAAGACAATGTCTTCTAGTCATAAATGGGAAGCTGCATTCATAAATCTCAGCAATATGGTTATTTGGACAAGATCTACATAAGCCTAATATCAGCTGACATGCCAATACGGATGAGGGAAATTTCACAAGGCCCACCCTAGATGAATAGATACTGGCATCGATGGCTGATGGAGAGGGAGATTCAATTTTCTCTAGGAATGACCCCCCCAATAGGTTATCCAATCCTAAATAGTCAGCCCTAAACACATGTACCAACAAGTAACATTAAAAGAACCCAGTAAGTTTATATGTCTGTTTGTGTATATATGCATATAATATATACATGAAGATATATGTGTATACACATATGTCTATATATGTATTTAATGAAAATTGCAGAGTGTGGGCATAGAAGGAGTTGGAATGGAGGAGAGGTAGAAGTGATTTAATATACTCAAGTATGAAATACTAAAAAAAATAAAACTAAATAAAAACACAGGGGTTACATGCTCAAAACCAGAATTCTAAATTTTGCCTAGTTCTTTTGTTTTATGCCATGCTTTCTACATTAGTGAGTGTACAGCACCCCAAAGGGATTTGTTTTACAACTAATATTTTGAAGTTGGGGCTATATAAGAAGGTCCCACTGTGCCAAACCGTTTTGCGAGAATTTGCCAAGAGCGGGCTGGAGGAGAGATGGCTAAGTGGTTACGAGCACTGCCTGCTCTTCCAGAGGACCCAGGTTCAATTCCCAGCACCCACATGGCAGCTCATAGATGTATGTATGTACACCTGTTCTCGGGGATCTGATGCCCTCATACAGACACGCATGCCTGAAAAACACCAATGTACATAAAATAAAAATAAATAAATAATTAAAGAAAAGAATTTGCCAAGATTCAAATTGGCTTCTACTTTGCCATAATTCCTCATATCCTGAGTTGTTTTAGTCAATTCTGTGATGCTATAACAAATATAGAATGTTGGTAATGTACAAATAAAATGAATTTATTTAGAATACGAGTCTAGTGACTGGAAAAATCCTGAAACCATTGTGTAGTCACTGTCTTAGCTCCTGCCGAAGGCCATATGGTGGCCAACCTCACAACAGACAATGCAGAAAAACAAACTGCAATGTTCAAAAAGGCAAATGTGAGGCAGTATCATCTTCAAGAAAATTAATAATTTGGTTCTTACAAGAGAACTCAATAGCATCAAGCAATGGAATGCATCCATGAGGGTGTTATCTCCATGATTCATGTAGCTTTAGTCTTAATTTTCTCACCTCCTCAAAACTGCTCTATCAGGATCAAGGTTCTGGTATAGAAATCTTTGTGAAGACCCCAAATCTTATCATGAAGTACCCGATTCCTATGTCAAGTAAGAACACATGCTACATTTCTACTCTTATACACCCCACCCATTAACTGTCTGTAGAAATGCCTAACCTATTTCACAAGCCACTTGTGTTCAATAGTATCCAAAGCAAACTGTCATTAAGAATTCTATTATAGGAAGAAGGCTGGTTGTGGCACATTAAGGTGGATTCTAACATTGGAAGATATAATTTGTGTAGACTGACTTTTTTTTCTTAGCATGAGAAAAGCATGTATTCAAAGATGGGAAGACTGAAGTTACACAACTGAATTGTAAACTGATGACAAGTCAACCCAGGACTCAAAATGGTGACAAAACAGAATGAGTTACACTGAAGTATATGACAGTCATTCACCTCTCTATGACCAAAGGAAGTAGTGCTGGCCTGTTGTCTGAATGTCTTTGAATATGAATGTATTCTCCAGATTCTACCTTCCCATTTTCACAAGGTTGTACTTTAAACCAGAGGCATTGCCATGCTGAGAAAGTGCCCTGTCACTCAGCTGAGTGCTAAGACATAACCTCTGTGTTCTAAATGAATGATAATAATGATATCATTGCTTTCCATGTGTATGTTGCTTTACATTTAAGAAGCTTTTTCAAAAATGCCCCCAACAAAAATCTCGAAGTAGGTCAAGGCAATATAAGAATCCTATTTCATAGATGGGTAAACTAATAATCTACGAAATTCAGTGACTTACTCAAGGCCACAGAGCTGGCAGGCAATGCAGCAAAGATTAAAATCTATTCATTTTTGTATCAGAATATTCTTGTATCTTGCTGGTTCTGGGTGTTCTGTGTGTCCCCTCGTGGTGGATGCTATGCTCCAAGCTGCAGCCCTCCATCTGATGTGGCCTCTTGGCTAGGCTCAGGGATTCTTCCCCAGCAGCCAGCCCAGGACAGCTTTCCCCAGGGTCTTCCCATGCCATCAATAAGGGCCAGTGAACTAACATCAGAGTGGGCTTCTCTTTCTGAAGGAAAGAATAATCCTAAAATATTCTCAGTCTGTTGGTTTCTGTCTCTTTATAAATACACACTTTTTCAGAAGCAAGATTCTAGGAGCCTCTAATTTTTTTGAGGAGTAGAATCTCAGGTGTGAGAAAGGATGATAAATTAGTACTTTATAATTGCCATTATAGACTAATGATATTTTCTGAAGTGTCCCCACAACATATAACTTCATTACTACATTCTTACTTTTGATAGTCAAGTCAAAATGCCAACATAGTTTAAAAATAAAATAATGGTCTAAGAGAAACAGGTCCACTCATGCAAATGACTTTTTGGAAGTTAGACATTACATGAAAGTGTTGCACAGGACTACTGCTTTGACCACATGGTGCCTCTGGAGAGGTTAAGGGACTTCAGAATAGCATCTTGGACACATCTCATGACTAAGAAAAGGACTAAAATCTCTTATCAATTAAAAAGAAGAAACTAAGAGATCCTTAAAGCTATTTCCTATCCAAAATTTCTGGGAAAGTCAAAAGGATATATTCTATTTTTGTGTCTTCCTTTCTGCTATGCTAAATGGTCACAGCTTAGGAGAGGGGAAGAGTGCTCTAAATTCCCTTCTGATCTTTGAGCAGCCTGACACATATTTAGATAGTACATCAAGGTACCCTCAATCAAGAGCTTCTCCACTCTCTGATCCTGAGAGGTTCTCCTATTTTTTTAACACTGGAGAGATGGCTTTTACAGATCTGCATATGAGAGCTCTCCTTAGGACTACTGAAATGAAGAAATGAAACAAAAGATAGACACATCTGTCAGGTCTTCTGAAGACTTCAGCTATGTTCAGCTTTTTGGGAAACAGGTAATGTCTAGGAGCCCTTGAGCGTCTGGCTTGGCCTAGTTTCTGGGAGGTCACAGCTATTTCCTGCCTATAACTTCAGCAACAAGGTGAAGTACTACTGAGCTCATGCAATCTTCCTGCAAATGGAGGAAATTTTGCAAATGTGGACATAAAGGAAAAACTTTTGGGTTCCAAAGTTGAAGAAGGAAGAACAGGTGCCAACTCTCCTGTGAGAAAGTCCCTAACTAATTTAGCTTATCATAGAAGTCTTATGGGGAAGCATGAGGGATAAGGAGGGAAGTTTTGGGGGTGGGACTTACAAGGGCAGTGGAGAATGAAGGTGAATAAGAACAATATATATATATATATATATATATATGTACATATATATATGTACATATATACATATTCACACAAGACATATGTGTGTGTGTATGGAAAGGTTATAACAAAATCCATTATATCACATAAATTAAAAAACTAAAATAGGTTGTAATGACTTTGTTTTCAAAGGGCGGATATTATAGTGAGTGTTCAGCTTAAATATTTAGTATAATTGAAGCTTAGGACATACATTTGTTTTGGTAAATTGTGGTCATGTAAAGTCAGTTTGGCAAAGAAAACTCTTAATTGCTAAGAATTAACTATAGACAGATACTTTAAAGAAAATGTGCAGGAGATAGGCAGGAGGATGAGAATTTCAAGGTTATCTTCAGGTACGTGGTGAGCCTGAGGTTATCTTGGGGTACAGGAGACTCTGTCCCCCCTCAAAAATGTGTACTTGGAACCTACTAATGGTCGTGTCCTTCTACAGTTTGGTCTTTGGGAGTATAAAGGCTACATGTAAATTGTTTCAAAATTAGCATATGGAAAATCACACTATGAAAGAGAAGGAGTGGAATAAGCCTTCTGTTCTCCATAAGGCCAAGCAAATCAAACCATTGATCAGGTACAGAGGCACTCCAAAGTATCTGAGGTGACTTCTGTTTCTTTATAACACAAAAATACACACTCCCAAGTAGAGACTTAGGAGCATGAGATGCATTTAGTTGTGTGTGGAGAGCTTCATGTAGCAGAGCATGTGTGAAAAACCTTATGCTATGCAAATAAGCCCAAAAGACCATATGATGTTAAAAGCACTAATCGTTTTTTATAATGTTGCTTTTTGAACTGCTATCCTTTTTCTTTTCTCCATCCCATTTTTCCCCTTGGGAACTCTTTGTCTTTTCCTAACAAATTATCACTGCTCTACTGTAACTGTATGGCTCTGGTCAATTCATTTCTCAGGGACAGAAGAAGCTAGAAGCCCTCCAGATGTGTTCATGGTATTGCAGATTCCCGAGATATCACAGGGATGGATATATACTGTTCAGTTGCAGAGAAGGACTCAGAGCAGAGAGCCTGACTGTTATGATAAATCTTTCTACCAAAAGCCGCCAAGCCCCACCGCCATGTGTGTGCTTTACGCCAGCCGCCTGCCTGAGTTAGGGCCCAAATGAATACACAGAAACTTGTATTAGGTTCAAATGCTGCTTGGCCAATGACTAGGATTCTCATCTGTTAGCTCAGTCTCAATTATCATAAATCTATATATTTTATAAGACTTATCTTATAGAGGATACCTTCTGCTGGCACCCTCCCTTGCCAGTGGATCACATTGCGCCGCTGGAGGAGGAGAGGAGGGGAAAAGGGGACACTTCCTGTTTCTCCTTTCTTAAATATGAGTGTCCTTGCTATGTCACTTCCTGCCTGGAACACCACTTCTCTACTACATTTCTCAGAATCCTCTTTGACTCCTAGTCCCGTCTAACTTGCTGTCTCATTGGCCAAACAAGTACTTTATTTAACAATCAATAAGATAAACATGCATAGAAGTACTTTCCCCATCACCTGACTGATGAGCAACATATTGTTAGACCTATTCTATGAGGACAGTGTGACAGAGTGATGGAGCAGACAAAGCTAGCAGGAGCCATCCAATGGCACATTCTTGCTTAGTCATACAGCATTCTAGACCTGATACCTATCTGCATATCAAGTTACCTAAGAGGGAACCAAACTGCCCTCAGGTCACAGCCCTGACAAATCTGAGGGATAATTCTATGGAAGTGAGTGTCTTGACTTCATGCAGCATGTCACTATCCATAGAGACGTAAGAGTGGAGTAAGAAAAGTTAGGATAAGAAATTATTTTTGTGTTGTTGTAGAATGAAGTCAGAGCCTCACGTGTATTAGTCTAGCTTTTCAGTGCCTTTGTCTGTCACGGAAGCACCCTCTCCATGCCAGAAGGGAACACCTTACTCACCTGTGCACCTCAGGAGGATCCCTCTGGATTTTGGAGCTTGCCTCTACCACTTCTTTGGCCACTTTACCACTATAAAATACACAAATACAATGCATGTGATTGGACACTCCAAAGAAATGGGGAAGGATATGCACATGCTTCCAAATTGGCTCTAAGAGTTCACCTCTTCCTTTATTCAATGAGGAAAAGCTATGTGGAGGTTTAGGTTGCCCAGTCAGGAGAATAACTCAATGGAATGGGAAATAGACTAGCAAAGGGTTATAAGCACAATATCTAAAAATAAAACATTCCAATGTAAATGAATGCCCCCCCAACCCATCACAGCAGTGGATTCACTGTTACCCACCTATATCGAAATCTACTTCCTTTAAAAAATATCTTGCTGCTTGACACAGTCTTGATCTGACTTGACTTGGCATACCTTTAAAGAAAAGCATAGCAGAGGTAGTAGTGACATTGAAAAATTCAATCAGGACACACAGTAGAGCTGTGTCAATCACTCACTTGGACTTCTAGGGAAAATATCCATTTTACATGTACACTAAGCATTATACACATGTTCTGAAGGTGTTTCTCAAAAGAATAGAAATTTATGTACATTGTAATTTGATATGTTCACTGATTAGTGCTATTCCTTTCACTGTGAACACTATTCGTAACCCACAGTTGTATTTTATACTCTTGCAAAACGTTTCAAGCAATGCTGATGAATAGAAGAAATTGTTGCCTCATTCATAGCTGAGAGATATAAAATTATATAATATGACATTATTAAATTTATTAATGATGGGACACTTTGTGAGCTATCTGTGTAAATATCAAAACAGAAATCAGCTTTCTAGCCAGAAAGGTCATTCATTGTTACAAAGAACTCACTATAAAGAACTCTTCATGTGCTGTTTTATCAATGGAAATGGGTCCATGTCATCACAGCATGGACACTAGCAATGTGTCACCATGAGTGCTCTTTAAAAGACAGATGATTAGGATACATAAGAATAAGAAGGCCAGTACAGCACTGATTCAGTAACCTCTGAGTATACACATAAACATGAAAAATACACTCTGGAAAGAACTCAAGAACATGGGCTGTCTCAGAGTGGAGCATAAGGTACTATGACAGCTGAGGATGCTGTCAGTTTCTATTATCAGTCACTTTAAGTCTTATGCAAACATAAAAAGAAATTGGAAAGAATAGGCATTTCAGTATGGTTTGAAATACTGATAATACAAACCCCTCCAAAAAAAACCTCTCCAAACCACAAATAACACCCCCCTTGAAACCTCACCAAGTCCATGTTTAGATGAAGAACTATGGGCAATTATGACAAGAGAGAGAAAGAGAGAGAGAGAGAGAAAGAGAGAGAGAGAGAGAGAGAGAGAGAAATCAGTCTTTCCAAAGAATAAGCTGCCCAATGTGATAGTAGATGCCAAGTGGTAGCCCTAAAAAGGATATATGTGTATGTGTATGCATATACACACGTATGTATGCACATATTCAACACTAAATGGAATCAACAGTTTTTATTTATATATTTATATTTATTAGCAATAATAATTAAAATGAAAGAGTCATGAATTTGAGAGTTTGGGTGGAATACAGAAGGAGTTTGAAAGAAGAGAGTGAGACAGATATGACACACACACACAAAACTAAGAAAAATAAGAAACACAAATCAGTTTCAACAGTATAGCTTCATGGTGCAGGGAGAAGTAGACACTGCCAAATAAAAACCAAACAAGGCACTGGCAGTCCTACATTCAGGACAAGCTGACAGCCCTCACTGGCCTCAAATCCACTTTCTGACTATACTGTTACAGTGATTTTTCCAGTGGTTGGGTCAGAGGTATAAAGAAATCCCATTGCATCATTATATATAACCAAGAAAAGCAATAGCTAGGAACTACTTTTACAGCAAGATTATTGTTAAAAACTGAGCTACCTTGAGAATTTGAGAAGGGAAACCAATCATAGATCTGAAAAACACACTTTTGTCTGACCTTCCCCAACAATGAGATTGATGACTACCTTAATTGCCATCCTAGAGTCTTTATCCAGTAGCTGATGGAAGCAGAAGCAGACACCCACAGTTAAGCACTGAGCCACACTCCTGGAATTCAGTTGTAGAGAGGGAGGAGAAGTGAGCAAAGGAGTCAAGACCATGCTGGAGGAACCTACAGAACCAGCTGACTTGACCAAGTGAGAGCACATAGACCTGAGTTGTAAAGCTGGGGAACCAGCATTGGAACAAACCCTCTGAATGTGGGTGCCAGCTAGAAGACCTGGGAAGTCTATGGGATCTCTAACAGTGGAATCAGTATTTATCCCTAATGCACAAATGGACTTCCGGAGCCCATTATGGAGAGATACTATTTCAGCTCAGATACACAGAGGAGGGCCTAGGCCCTCCTCCAAATGATGTGACAGACTTTGATGATCCCCATGGAAGGCCTCACTGTCCTTGGGGAGCGGGTGGGGGATGGGTTGGGAGGTTGTTAGGGGGCATGGGAGGATGGGAGGGAGAAGGAATGGGGTGGGGTGTTGATATGTAAAATGATTGTTTCTAAATAAAAAAGGGAAGAAAGAGCTCAATGAAATGAAAAGAGAATGGACTTACATAGATGAAATTAAGTTGTACTCATAATGCCAAAGAGAACTCAGAAATAAAGCCATTGAAACTAAAAAAAGGAATATGCATTATCCTTACTTTATGTCCTCCCTAGAATTTGTTGTCTTTGTTTTTGTGAACTTAGCCATTCTGACTGGGATGAGATGAAATGTCAAAGTAGTTTTAATTTGCATTTCTCTTAAGTTAAAGGATGTTGAGCCCTTTTAAAAATACTTCTTGGCTGAACCAGTCGTTTTCCATACCTAGGCAAGACTTCCAGTGGTGGGGCTGGAACACGAATCCAGACACAAAACCTTCAATCTACAGCCTGTCCGGCCTGTAAGATGTGCTGGGGCAATGGTGGCTCAAGCTTGTGGGCAAGCAATGCCACCAGAGGGAGCCCATGACCACCACCACTCCCCTACGCCCCCCCACCCCCGCTGCTACATGGATAGCTAGTAATGGGTTGCTTACTGATCCAGAGACCTAGGGTAGAACCAAAAACTACTGGGGGGTGGTGGAAGTGGAGGGAAATGAAATGATTCCTTATGATAATCTGCTATACTCAGATCAGTGCCTAGCCCAACTGTCATCAGAGAGGCTTCATCCAGTAACTGATGGGAGCAGATACAGAGACCCACAGTCAAACACAAGGCAAAGCCAGGGGACCCCCACAGAGGAGGGTGAGGAAGGATTGTAGGAGCCAGAGGGGTCTATGACACCAGGAGAACATGGCTCACAGACTCAGTTAAGCAGAGCTCATAGGAACTCACAGAGACTGAAGCAACAATCATGGGTCTCACCTAGGCCCTCTGTATATATGTTATGGCTGTGTAGCTTGTCGTTCTTGTGGGACTCCTAACAATAGAAGTGGGGGGGGGTGGGGGGGGGCTTTGTGC